GACTCCTCTCACGCTCTTCCTGAAGATGATCGTCGATATCCTTCTCGAGCTCTTCAAATGATCGGCTCTTTTCATCATTCTGGTCCTCAGCAAAAGACTCCTCGTCATCATCGGCGGGCTCCTTCATGGACTCCTTGGTAACATCAGCGGAGTGTTCCTCGGCAGGCTGGGTGTCGTTCGCCATGTGGCTTTGGTCATGATCCTTGGTAGTGTCGTGAATAGATGCTTCACGAGCCTCCGAGACATCGTGGAGAGACTCTTCATGATGAGAAGGCTCGTGGTGAGAGAGTTCGTGGTGAGAGGGCTCGTGAAGTGACTCATCGTAGGCCGATTTATCACGAACGGATTCCGCATGGAGCGACTTGTCGTAACGAGAGTCCTCATGACGGGATGTATCATGACGAGATGTATCATGACGAGATGCATCATGGTTCTCCATACGTGACTTTCCTTCACTCATATGGCTCACATCCTCGACATGGTTACGAGACTCTCCCCGTCTTCTAGACAGACGTCCTCGCTCCCTCTCCTCAAACTCCCGATGCTCCTCATCCAATCTGATGTATCTTTCCTCCTCTTCAGCTTCCCTCATCGCCAACTCTCTCTCCTGGTCAGCTTCCAGAGACACGAGCTCATGCTGCGATACGGCGTCGACAAGAGGCTCGATCTCGACATCAACCCGCTCCATCTCCTTCCAACAAGCTTCCCAGGCACCACCGCGGATCAGACCGTTGCTAGCATATACCTTGACACGGAAGACCTTTGCACGACCGAGTGACTCATAATTGATATCCGACTTGCATGTCTTGCACCAGTGTGTAGGCGGTGCGTGGGAGCGACGACTTGATCGACGCTCCTCTTCTGGCTGTTGATATTCATCCTCCTCACTCTCCTCCTCTGATGATTCTTCTATTGTCATCTCGTTGGAGGGACCAAGATAATGGCCACACTCTAGGATACGAGCACGACGCCTCATGGGAAGGTCAAGAGCCTCTAGCAGCCTCTCCTCAAGAACCTCGTAGTCGCTCTGAGGGTGTGGCAGGAGGATACCACGCTCGACAGTGGTGTCTGCCATGCGGTCTTGCAACAATCGCCAAGCATCTCGTATAGCCTTACACTCCTTGCTCAGATCATCGGCATCCGCATTCTCGAGCACGTCACCCCACGGCCACCGCAGCGGAAGCAATGTAACGTGAAGAAGCACAAGGGGCGGTGTAGATCGCTTGAAACGGGGTGGTGTCTTCTTAGGAGAGTACTGCTCTGAAAAGCGAGGAGAGCCAAGTCGAGATGCAGAGAGAGGTGCCCTGCGGCTTGATCGAGGAGAGCCAATTGTTGAGCCTGGAGGCGATGACATCTGCATGGCCTTGACAGAAGAAGGTGATCGGAAGACAGGACGAGGGTTACCTCGGATAGTAGGGATAAAGTCTTCCTCTTCCCTGTCATACTCTGAGAAACCGGAAATACCAGATACACCTGAGACACGAGGCGACCTGGTCATCCGCGACATGGCATCCTGAGCCTTTCTGTTATCAGTCTCCGAGACAGATCCCATTGAGCTGCGAGGACTGCGATCACTGAAAACGTCATCTTCGTGCTCATGGTGGGAGCTGTTCTCAGCGGCCTCATCTACACCGCCTCTCATGCCAGCAGTCGACATTTTTGGGCCTGTACGAGTACTAACCGACTCTGAATGAGAGATGTAACCAGTATCGTCTGTTCCAGAGTAGCTATTCAACGACTCGCGCTTCCCGTGGTTATCGATCTGTGAAGCAATGTCACGAGCAACTCCGTTGATAGCTTCGGAGCGACCAGAGTGTCGACGGCTTGAGTACTCGGATCCTGAAGAGCCAGAGGACTCACGTCGAGAGCCTGAGCGGTCTGACTCAGTCTCGGAAAAGTGTCTCTCTTCGTTGCCTTCGGTAGAGGCTTCAACCTCAGCTTCAGCAGATTTGGCCTTGTCCTCTTGGATAGGTTCGTCCTCTTTGGGGTCCTGAGCGGTGGAGTCTTCGGCAGGAATGTTGTCTGTGGGGATATCTGCGGAAGGGGTGTCCTCGGTTGGAGTATCCGCAGGCGTGGCCTCAGTAGTAGTAGCGTCTTCGACAGGGGTAGGATCCTCGTCGTTATCTTTTGTATCGTCTAATGAGGGCTCTGTAGCTGTTGTATCGGCTTCAACTTCAGATGTAGCAGGTACAGCTTGTTCTTCTGACTCTGTTGCTGGCTCCTCAATTGGTTGTTCTGGCTTATCTTCAGTGTCGGCTTGAGCTTTGGCTTCCTCTTTTGGTTCAGCTTCAGACTCTGATTCGACTTCTGAGTCGGCCTCTGAGTCTGATGACTCTTGATCAGATTGGGCCTCCTCCTTGGTCTCTTGTGGTGTTATAGTAGATTGATCTTTTTCTTTAGCTTCGACCGTAGGCTCGGTCTTTACTTCAGTAGGCAAGTCGGTGTGGTTTGTCGTATCAATGTCGTTATCAAGCTCTTTGGCAGGGGAGTCGCTCTTTGAATCGTGGTCTGTTTCAACTTCCACCTTTGGCTCCTCGGGGGCCCTCGTATCGTTATCGTCCATAGGATCGCTCAAGCAAGATGGATCAACGTGAATCTCGAAATCAAGGTCCTCAGCCCTGTTGCGTCGGGGCATCTGAGGGTGAGGGCGGTCAGTGGTTTGTGCCTTTTCGTATGTGTGCCTCGAGTATTTTGCAGTGACACACACACGAACGGTGAAAAAGAAAAGGGGATATTGAAGCGAGGAAGAGGAAGAAGAGAGAGAGAGGCCAAGGGGTCTTCCTGGAATCGTGCAGATATTAGTCTGTACTGTAGGTATACCCCAGACAGACGCTGGGCTTGTGTGGCAGCGGATGGTTGGTCGAGGACGTTGGGACTGGCCCCGGTCATTGTTTACATTTGTTGCTGGGTCGACAGCGTCTGTGGACGTTAATCCCTGAGCGGGATGTCGAGACAACGGTCAGATTCGCAAACGGAAAGTGGCTGAAATTCATGATTGAGACTGTAAATGATGATGGTGTTTAATTTCTACAGTTTCCTTTTGTCTTTGCTGATTCAATTGTAGTTCCATTTCGTTGGTATTTTATCCCTTGTGAGAGAGCAATCCATAAGCTCTTAGCTCTCCCTGTTAGGTAGTTAGTGGGCAAACAGCGGTGATGTCATTCCATTGGACCACACTTGGATCCATTCTGATCGACTACTGAGATGCCCAGCAACGAGCAAACAAATCCTTGCTGTTGGGGTTTTATCTGCAACATTTATCACGTCAGGCCACGATTGGGTGATATACTTACATCTTACGGAGTACTACGCTGCTCTCCCTCCCTCCCACTCGTGACCCGAGCCTTTTTCAGCAAGTGTCACCTCCAACATCAAGTTTAGGGTAACCTCCACCCCCAGGAACGGCCCGTCGGGTCTAGGTGTGTTTCACTTACATAGATTGCCGCATTCCTCGATCACCAGAATATACACAGCATGTTCTTGTGTTGCTCTAAATTGTATAAAATTGTGTGATCGCTAGAGACTCGCTGTTCGGAAATCATACCGAAGAATGTGATACCAAACTGACACAGCATTGGTGTAAAGCAACCAGCAAAGAGATGCCTCGTTTACGTCCCCCAAAAACATCAAAAGTAATACTTTCTCATCCACTACTGTCCCTCTACACCTGTATCACCATAACGGGAACGAATATCGAGGCAGTTTTTACCACTAAACAACCCCCGGCGATTAATAATTCCCAAATGTGTTTGCCAAACCGGATTCCAACACGAATCCTCAGTCCCCAAGTCTTTCCACACACGGATCTGCATCCTCTTCGTTGTCATACAAATCGAAAACTCTGTCAGGCAGTACGGGCACATGCCATCTGCCTGAAGTCCAGGGGTTTTGATTGCCTCACAGACGCATTCGTATATATACCCGCTTCCTTCCGAATACCGCCTCCCTGGCGAGAAGTAGGCTTTCCAGCCGTAGTCGCCGTAGTCTGATATCACTTGATGTTTGCAAACTCCAAAGTACACGAGTTTGTGGGGTGCTATCGTCCCGCCTCTCAGGGTGTTGGTGAAGGTCCATTGGTTGAAAAGAAGATATCGACCAGAGATGAGCTTGGGATGAGACTCAAAGTGGCCTACTACTCCAGACTTTTCCGAGGGGTGTATTTGTAAGCATGGTGAGAAATCAGTGTGGTATGGCTCCAGGAGACTCTTGAGGAACGACTTCTGCCGGCGAGTCTTCTTTTCCAATCGGTGGTATATGAGGCTCATCCGAACGTGCCTATGCCTTATCAACAAGGCTCCAATTCTGAATCGCCAAAGGTTATCTACATCCCATCCTGGTTGGTCTCTAAATGGAGGCCCTTGCGGTTGTGGGTAGAGGTCTTCCTCTAGAAATTCTCGGAAACGGAGTGTGTCTTCATCGAGCCAGGCATTAGGAAATTGTCGTATGACAATTGTTTTGTACTCCCGCTTCTGCTCAAGGTTTAATCGAGAATATGGGACTGTTCTGTGCTCTAGTAGTACTTTTATCCCGCGGCAGGTTGTTAGAAGACACAGCTGACTGGTTGCTGGGAGGAAATCGTGAACGATGAGCAAGATATCGGCGGGTAGGTTGAAGGAAAATGAGTCCGAGGTGCTCTTTGTCTTTGACAACCGAGACCCGCCTCCGCAAATCCAGCGGCTTGATACATCCCGAATTTGAGCCATTGTGAAAGATGAGGACGCGGCTTGCTGTTGGAGTCGAAGGCTTTGCATATGTCTCTTCAGTGGGAGGATGGAAGTAAAAGTGAAGATGAAGGGAAGAAAATGGCAGCGTTCATTCTTTTATCTTGAACCTGCTTATATCATTCACTTAAATTTTAACCAAAAAAATGAAAAAGTATAAAAAGAGAAGTATATAATAAAATTTGGGTTACGGTTCGATGAAGAGAGTTAAGATTGAGTGTGTGAGGAAGTTTAACACACCAACCATACAGAGATGCTAAGTTGTTGATATAGTAAGATTCAAGCGTTCCAGGTCCAATCATACTTTCTGTGAGTCTCCTTGAGAACTTTAATAGCCTTTTCGTAGGCACGATGCTTGACATCCCGCTTAACCACGATATCAGGGACTATGAAGTTTAGTGTTTGAATTCGGGAGAAAGTTTGGTGACTCACCTTCCAAGTATCCATGGAAAAGTTCTTTCTCATGCAAGATCTCTACTCTCTGAACTTCCCTCTCGCCGTCCTCGTTGTTGATTCTCTCTGCGAACTCAGTCTGTTCTGCAACGAGGATATCGATACCAGGAACGATCAGGAGAATCCTCTCTGGCAATGATTCCTTTTCTGAAAGGACAGGACTCAACCTTGGATCTTCAAAGTGTTTTGCTCTCGCAGGTGCTGCATATGCGTCGAAAAGAGGCAAAAAAACTTTTGCCGGGTCATTCTTGGGCATGTTGTCTGGATGCGGTTTCTCCCAAGGACTCAGACGGAAGTCAATAACAGCGTAGAAAGTTGTGATGGCCTTGATAGCAGTAGGGGACGGTGCCTGACAGCTTTCTTGCTGATTGACTGCAAAAGCCAAGTTTCCTCCGGCAGAAAAGCCACTCGTGGTCATTAAAGTTGGATCTGCGCCCCAGCGTTCTTCAGCGTTCTCTTGTAGCCACTTGATCGTTGCATCAGCATCGTCAATGGCCGCAGGGAAAACATGTTCCGGCGCAACACGATAGTCAATATCAATAACAACGGCACCTGTTTGCTCCGATACCAGTTGATCGAAATATGCATGGCCCTCTGGCAAGCCACCCATGAAAGCGCCAGCGTGAAAGTTTACATGAAGTGGCCTGAGAGCTCTCCCCTTCCCAACACCAGCAGCCTTAAAGATCAAGGCTCGAACATAACGACCCGGCGCAATATTGAGAAATTCGACAGTGTAAGAGCGATACAAAAGACATGGTATCGTGGCGATGGAGTATGTTAGGAGGGCAGCTGGTTGAAATACTAGCAACCGCCAGCGCAAGGCCCATGGTATATTGCGGTAGAAGATCGCTACCAGACTGGGCCGAAACCAAATATACAAATGGTGGACGATGCTGGAGACCATTGTCGACTTTTGGTTTATTGATAATAGCGCGATAGAACAAAGTTGAAGTTCAGGTTTGCGGCTGAAATGCAGTAGAACAAAAGCATCGAAAGTTGTAAGCGGCCCAACATTGCACCGGTCTTTTATGAGGAAGAGCCAATCAAGAACCACAGGCCAAGAACAAAATGGCGTCTCATTGAAATGATATCTATCTTATTCCAGTGATGGTTTTCACAGATCGAGTCCACTAAGGACTACTCACGATTACAGGTGTTGCTCGAGCCTTGAGCAAACATTCACTTATTGGAATCATCAATATACATGCATCTCAAACAAGAACAGTTTCAAAGCAAGCCACTCATTGAGAGATACATGTACAATTTCCTGCATGTAATTTATATCCCAGCCGCCACTCAAGCCGCTGTCAACGTACCGACATAACATCCCTATCCTTGCAGCTGCATTCTAGCGACCCGATGCTCCGGGTCTATAGATTAAGCATAAATGAGGTGCATCTTGAAATCTCGAAGGAAAAAGCAAAGTTTGATGGTTCATCACAGGGTGCAAGATTGAAAGTGTTTGTGGGAAAGTAAAATATTAAATATCACCAAGCTTTGCAAAGTTAGCTGGAAAGCCCTCGATTGCACCACCTAAAGTAACAGACACAAATAAACCCAGGTACTCCATATACTCGTGTATTCTTTAGATAGACCTGCTTGGTCGCCCTTCCCCAGCCCAGAGATTTAGAACCCAGTACAGAACGCCATGCTACGCTATGTCAAATTTCCAATTTCCAAAATCCTCCACCTGCAAACTGAACCCAGGTTGAATGTCCACATATAAAGGAAAGCAACACACTAACTCAAGTTATGGTTCCTCAGCCACAGGTCGTGGAGGTTCCATAGGTGCATTTGGTTGCCTGTTACCCGAGCCTCGAGTTCCTGGCCGATGGCTGTCCGTTTGACCAACGAGGTGTTCACTCGGCCCATAGAATCCATGCATCTCTTCATTCACAATACTGAGATTACTCTGACCCAGAGAATCACTCCGTATTCGTGGTCCACCCGACTGACGCTGAGCTACAGGAGGTCGGCTCGGGACACTGGCAATACTGCCTGATGATCTTCGTCTTTCATCTCTTGGGAATACCACCGACGATGGAGAGCTCGGCAATTCTGGTACGTACGGTGTTGCTTCTAGCTCTGCTGTCGGATGAGCACCTGCCATCACTCCAGGTGAACCATCGGATCCCTCTGAAGCATTACTGTAGTTCCGAACGTGGGTATACGTCCCATGTGAATCTGTACTCGAACGGTTCCTCGTCGACCCAGTAAGTCTAGAGATATGGCTCATTCGATGTTGTTCGCCTGCGGCCACGGCGCTGAAGTAATCGTCCCTGTTACCCATTGCATCGAAACTAGCATGTCTGCTGGTGTTGCGGCTTCCTGGTACCACGTGGTAACCGTTACCTCCTGGCGTAGGCTCATTAGAACTGTGATCTGCACTGGCGAGACCGAATGGTGAAGTTGCTGCGGAGTCAGGGCCGGGGTTTCGCGGCCGCGGAGGTATCAATGACGGATGTATCAATGGATCGATGCTTAGTTCATCGACGGCCGAGTCTGCAGTCTTGTACTCTCGAGTCTGTCGAGATTTACTATTTGAGCCGTTGGATTTGTCTGATGTTTTTGGTGTGGCGACAGCAGCAACAACCTTATTCAGATGGCGGATGATGATAAACGCCGCCACTAATACGATAATCAAGAAAGCCACAGAGCCGGCAATAATACCAGCCAATGCGCCAGTTGAAAGGCCTCCTTTGTCGCCGTTGTCATCGTCAGATAAGCTCGTTGGGCTGACTTTGGGGATCGACGATGGGAAGTATTTTAGAACTGCCTGATCGTTATCTTCCCCAGCATTTACCGTCGGGAGAGCCGTAGGAGCCGTTGGTGTTTCGACGGTCACGGCTGTTGTCTTATAAGTCGTTCGCTCCCCCCTTATTGTCGTTGTAATGACCATAGTACTTGTGACAGTTACAGGATCGGACGAGTAGCACTGGTTCACGCCGCATGCCATTCCATTCGGGCAGCAGCCGTAGCTCAGTGATGACGGACATAAATACTGGCTAGCTGGACAATCGTACGTATATGCTGATCCAGAGGGCGGTACACAGTTGTCGGCTGTCTCGCAAAGGTAGCCGTCAGGACAACAGCCTCCTACTATATGTGAGCCTTGTTCACAAACGCTTGACATTCCCGGAATACGAACCTCCATAGACCGGAGCGCAAACATGCCAGCCTATTTTTGTTCCACAGGTCGAGGGTCCCTTCGTCGTCGCTTGGCAGCTCTCTTTGGCGCAATCATAGTTTTCCGGGCAACATCCTCCGTCCAAACTCGAAGGGCATAATTTCATACTCGTCGCACATTGCGCTTCGGCTCGTCGAGCAAGACCCGCTGGCTGTGTGATTTGCGCCTCCTTCTCAATACGATGAACGCCATCATGTCTTCTGTAGTCGGCCGCCTCGACACCCAAAGCCCAGAATGCACCAACGACCGAGGCGAGGCAAAAGCTACACCCCCAGTTCCTCATCTTGTGCGATCATGGAACTGAGGGGAAATGCGACAGCGAATCGAAGTGGTATCGTTCAGCCGTGAGGGGCGCCGATCATTAGCAAAATGTAACTCGGATAAATGCAGCCTCTTCAGGCTGGTGGTTGTCGCAAATCAACGGATATAATCTGATTGATAATCGCGGGTTTACAACGGTCACAGATCGGTTCAAGACAAGATCGCCGTGAGGATGGTGTCGAATATTCAACCGTTTCGCAACAAAACAACCAGAAGCAATGATGAGAAGGAGAAAAGGAGAAATCTGTCAGACAAAATAGTAATGTTCCTACTGTCAGCAATGGAGGCCTTAGAGGCTTGCCAATAACCGGGGTCTGAAGATGCTACGCCACGAGTGAGCAGTAAATGCTTCACTCGTGCCAGACGATCTGTAGGGCTGAGCGAAAAGCCCACTGAAACCGACTGCACGGTTCGTTCTGGTTGGGCGGTCAACCCAAAAGCGCAGCACTGGTGAGATTGCAAGAAATAGCTCCTCTTAAGGTAATAATAATCGTGGGCCCAGCGTGGAGACTATGAAAGCAGGTGAAATGGAAACGGTGAGAAGTTGCACGGCGATGAGCAATATCCTACGGATAAGCAATAATGGGCTCGACACGCGGCTCATTTTCTCTCGCGGGGGCTGCTCGAGCTGAAACCGAGCAGAACATCATAGGCCAAGAGCTTCAAGACGATCGATCGGTGACAGAGCTGCGAGAGAGCACCCATATGCGTGGTATTGCATTGTGGCTCGTCATCTTCACCAATACCATCGCTCGAGTCACAGCTGAGGCTGTGGTGCAGCTCATGGGATTCGCTGGACACAACGCCATGGTAGCTCAACAGCGAAGCCCCCTCGGTGCTCTATTTCTATACCATCCCTCAAGACAATGCAGTGTCTCTCATCTCACGATTGGTCGGCGACGGATTTCTCAAGCTCTTAGTGGCCGACTGTGAACGGAGAGTGCATTGTTTGGGAGCATATGGTGCGCTCAAGTGCATTGGCGTTGCTACCGTGGTAGCGTGGCAGCCATTCAGCGGTCTTGTCCGTCTGACAAGTAGACAAGGCCACGAATCAAGTGTCTTATGGAGAAGGGAACCCTGTCCATAACGACAGAAGTTCATCCAAATCACCGGGGATTGGGGGCCGAGAACTTCGGGGGCGGAGGCATATAATAGCAATGGAGAATAATGATTGAGTTGAGAGATGCTGATGAGGTCAAGCTGCTTTGAAGACAGCCGCCCTTCGCTGATACAGACGAGTATTATGAATTTGAATAGGATTCTTTAAGGGATCATGTACTCCGTATTGTGCAGACAAAGACCCAGTTGGGCGATCCTAGGCCCATTTGTAAAGTTCCGAAAAGCGATGCACTTCGGATGTCTTCGTTAAAAACTTCCTTGTCGTGAGAGCAATATGCTGGCCAGGTTGACCGATGACCGTTACTAAGCGGTCAACCTCTTGTAGCCTTACGATCGTCGACTAAAGCAACAGACTTTTATCAAGCAAAATTAGCTTGGCGGTCAGAAGGGGCATCTGCTTTTAAAATTTGATGCCTGGTTTGAGATGGCTGTTGACATCGTGAGGTAGCGGCGGTTTATCCTAAAATAGAGTCTTTTAGTGAGCACGAACAGGCTGGACTTTGGTGGTAGGTGGAGACGTAATTGGAGCCCGTCTTCATCAGCAGGACGCTCAAAAAGATTGCGGACCTCGGCTTTCTGTGGAAATGATCAGAAAAAGAGGCATTTTCGTTAACCTTAATAACCATAAAGAAACGTCATTCTGTCAGTGCGCAAATAGTCGCAACCTTCGAGTGAGTTCTCGGGGAGAAGTCCAAGGCCAAACAGAGTAGTAGCGGCTGCAGATGGCCAGGAGCCTAAGTTGACCACCCATTACGATCATAAGATTGAAGGATGGAGTAAGGTACTCGGAGAGTAGCATTATCAATCATCAGCCCAGATTGTGCAAGCGTTGACTCTTCCCCACCTCGCAAATGCTTGTACAGAGCCAACCCAAACCTAACCAAACCAAACCTCCCTAGGTCTGGCGCTCATATCATGAAGTTGGACCTCCCAAATATCGCATGGATGCTCGACAGTTGGGTTCCCATACAAGGCAACAGAGAGTACCCGGCCGCTGCCCGCGCTGCCAAGAATCCTTAGGCCTCTCAAGGGTCCTGCGACGTTAGCTGCATGCCGGTGCTTTACCAGGCGCCACTTTCTAGACCGGACGAGAGCTATCGTGGCCCCGTGGCCAAGATGAACTTGAGCTTCACGATCGGTGGCTGCCGTTGATAAATCCTGGCCATTAAGCCTCCGATTTGCTTGGCACTCTACGCTCAGACATTGGCAATAAACTCGCCGATGGCTTCTAGAATTGGCAGGTAGGTACACCGTACACCAACGCTGGTCATCAACATCGTCAACGTCGTACTTGTAGCTCGTGTTGCTGAATTCATCTCCACTGATGCTGAATTTAGAGCATTGCCAATCAAAGGGCGGAATTAAGGGTCCATGAACTTTATTTGGCGGACGAATGAATCGTGCCGTTCCTGCGCAAGCGAACTGGTCACAATCGACCCAGAACCTCCCGTCAGACTCATCGCGGGGGGAAGTGATCACCCCTTGTTGTGATCTTCCTGAGGATTCCCATTGTCCTCAAGAGCGTAGATCTCAGACCGACCGATGCAGCATTTAAACGGGAAGGGTTGCGGCGTCCGGCAAAGCACGCGGGGGCGGGAAGGGTATGGCGTCGGATGCTCTCAGTGGCTTGCTTGGCCTGTGCAATTAGCCAGGTTTCTGGTTTGCCGCGCCTGTCAGAGCGAGTTGCCCATCACCATCTGGACCGAAAGCGGCCGAGTGGCAGCCGGATGGTGCTGAATTGGCAGTCTCATTACCCCGGATTTTCCAGCCCGCCGGGGAAAAGAATGCCAGGGCCATGTGGTTTTGGGTCGAGGTTTGCCGCTTTTGAGGATGCCATTTGGGTGGCTGCAGGGACACGAGGTCGGTGCTTGACTCCGAATACTTGATTGAGTCTTGGGGAGCTGGAGAGGGTTACATTGATAACGTCCAGTTCCTCCTGTCAATTCTAGAACTTCTGTCTCCGGGTGGCGTTGGACGAGAGGAGAGGAGAGGGTCGCTTTTCATGTGAAGAAAAGTCACCTGCTGTAGACGAGCGGGGGCGTGGATTTGCATTTGTTCTGCACCAAACGGGGAAAAAGACTCATACTGTATGATGACTGTGCGACAATGGATGATTACAAGGGCAAACACAGTATGAATCCACCGGGTTCCATACCCCGATTCTCCATCCCACCGCAAAAGCTCTCAGTTAACCCCCTGCAAATTCATCCCATGGTCCCATTCTCATCCCCCCAAATCTCCAGCTCTCCGCAGAACAAGGAGCAGCGGTTACGAAATTCTTTTCAGGGCACATTTCTGATGCTCTCACTCTCAGTGCTACTACTTGCAGACCAGCGCCCGTAACCCCGCAAGCTAGCAAAAGGTAGCTTTGCCCAGACTCGGGCAAGTGTCATAGCCAGGGCCAGGGATCCATGATTGTCGTGGATGCTGAAAGATCACGATGGTGTGTAGTGAGTGACGAGACTGGCAAGGAGGGACCTTCTGTTAGACGGTAGACCGAACCATGACGCCCCAGAGACGCACGAGGCATCAATTTTGATCCCTTCCATTTCTTCTTTTTCCCCTTCTTCTCTTCTTCCCGCCCCTCACACGTCTTGGTCCTGTTCATAATCCTGCTCCTGGCCTCAATCTTGCTTGCCTTTTAAACTTTGACCATTGTCTCTTGTTTGATTATATCGTCATATTCCGCCCTAGCCAACGTTCGTGACCATCAATCTCCCTGGACTACTGCTTGTTAAATACCTACCACTACCGATCTCCCGCCTCCGCTCCAATTTCTCCCCAGATCCTCGGCTTCTTGTGGACTTTATTTCCCCCTCTTACTTCCCCCACACGCAGATCAGTTATTCAATTCAAAATATTCTGTCGACGACTTGTTTTGCTTCAATATAGCATTCAGCAACTGGTTTTGTGCTGAGTCTGTAGATCTCGAAACGCCTCTCACCAATACCCGCAAAGCTCATGCGCCACCATCTCAATTCCTGGATGGAAACCGCATGATTGACTTTGTGATCCTTCGATCATCTATATTCGCCACCACATAACGGCCACGATGTTGCTGTACACCAGACTTGCACCACCCAAGGTCCCTAAGAAGCGCTCGCGCGCAGGTATGTGAACCATTCTGGAAGCATTCTGTCACACAAACAATGCTCTCCATTTTAGCTCATTGGACATGCTAACTCGGACGTTTTTGTCGTCGCACAGGATGCAGTTATTGGTAAGTCATTGCTATTCTCTATCTTCCATATTAGCAATTAACTAACAATCTCTATAGTAAAGAAAAGGTACAGAGCTCACTTCACATATGCAGTCGACATGATACTGACTAGCTGCTACAGAAAAAGAAATGTGACGAGATTCGACCTGCATGCGCCCGATGCCAAGAACGTGGCCAGGAGTGCAATTACGAACCTGTCCGACCTCGTCAGAGGCGCAAGCGTGAAGCAACTGTTCCCTGCTCGCCATTTGACACAAACTCCTCCTCAAGCTCGGACAGGGCAACTCATGTTTTGGATATCCATGGCAACTCCGAATGGAACGACGATGCGCATGATAGATCAGCTGACGAAGACTCACTCGACGACACTCCTGTTACGACCCAGGCTCCAATACTCAACACTTCTCTCGTCAATCGTACTGCCAGCATATCCACAACTGACCCTTCTGACTGGGCGGCCACGGACCTTCCTATAATTTCACCCCTCGACTCGGTCGATTTTCAATTGCCCCCGTTCGATGATTCCAAGTATGTCGTGCAACACATAGAGAACGGAGAGGAGGATATCGAAGAGATTGTTCGCCGGGAGTCCATCACCATCAATATTCCGACGACAACCTATG